CGCCTTGGGGTTTAGTCATGCCGGCCACATGACCACGGAAACGTCTTTGGACAGCGCTGGCTCTTCGGCTTTGAAACAGAGATGAGCACCGCAACCCTAGAGTCGGATTCAACTGGCTTTCGAGCAAGGGAACCTTTACCTTTACCTTTTTAGAAGTGTTGCCAGTTGCTCCTATGCCAGAAATTATTTTGTGAAGTATTACTCCTTATTATTACTATTATTTATTGAATCTCTAAACTGCTCTCCCCCAGAGGGCTCAGGGTAGTATACATCATATTTAAGGAACAGATCAGCTAAAACATCACAATAAATTAGTTTAAAACCAGACAATCATAATTTCCAATAAAACCAATAAGACCATTAACCTTCAGTCTCAGATGGCGTTCTGCATGTGGCTGCGTCCTCCAAGGGGTGGGGTTATGGGCCAGGTGAGATGGAAAAACCATTGCTGTCCTCAGCCATAAGCCTGGTGGAACATCTCTGTTTTACACGCGCTGCAGAACTGCACAAGGGTGCGGATGTCTCCAGGTAGAGTTCCACCAAAAAGGCCCTGGCTCTGGTTGCGGACAACTGGATATCTTCTGGACCTGGGATCACCAGCCGGTTTTGAACCTATAAGCATAAGGCTCCTTGGGGGATGTGCCAGGAGAGGCGGTCCTGCAGGTATGTTGGCCCCAGACTGTTTAGGGTCTTAAAGGTTAGAGACAAAACCTCAAAGCGGATCCGGAGTTCAACTGGGAGCCAGTGCACCTGGCAAAGCACAGGCTGAATATGCACTGTCATAGGGGTGCCTGTCAGCTTCCAGGGTAGCCGTACGTGGAGCGAGTTACAATAATCTGACCTTGAGTTGACCTTTGCATGGATCACTGTGGCTAGGTTGGAGCAAGAGAGGTAAGGGACCAGTTGCCTGACTTGGCCAAGTTGGAAAAATGCCAGCCTGGCAACCTTCGTAATCTAGGCCTCCACTGATAAAGAGGTATGCAGAAGCATGCCCAGACTCTTGACCACTGGTGCCAGTATCAACGGCACACTATCAGTAGCTGGAAGTTGATATCCCAACCTTAAATCACTCCCACCCAGCCACAGGACCTCTGTCTTTGATGGATTCAGTTTCAGCCAGCTGTCGGAAGCATCCAACCATGGTCTCCAATCCCTCAGCCAGATTTGGTGGGACAGCAGCCGGCCACCTGCCCATCAACAGTTACAGCTGGGTGTCATCCGTGTACTGATGGCAACCCAGCCTGACACTCCGCACCAGCTGGACAAGGGGGTGCATATAGATGTTAAACAGCATAGGAGAGAGGACTGCCCCTTGGGGGACCCTGCACACCAACAGATGTTGGGGTGATACCCTCTCTCCAAGTGCCACCCTCTGTCCCCGACCATGAAGGAATGAGGTGGACCACTCCCAGGTTACCCCATGGATTCCTATGCTAGTGAGGCAGTGGGCCAACAGGTCATAGTCAACCTTTTCAAACGCCTGCTGTCAGGTTAAGTTAATAACAGCAGCACCAACCCTGTGAGGGTGACCAGTGCTGTCTGTGTCCCACGGCCAGGTTGGAAGCTGGACTGGAACGGATCTAATGCCGACGTGTCTTCCAGGAAACCCTGGAGCTGCTCCACCACCGGTCTCTCAATTACCTTACCCAGGAATGACAAGTTCAAAACTGGGTGGTAATTGGCATGGTCCAACGTATCTAATGATGACTTTTTAAAGAGCGGTGTCACCACAGCCTCTTTTAATCCCCCTGGATAGACCCCACTACTAAGGGACAGATTGATAAGGTCCATTAGGGGGATTGTATATCATCACCACTGGCCTTATCCAGCCATGAAGGACACAGATCTAAGAGGCACGTGGTCGGTCTGACAACACCCAGGATTCTGTCGATGTCAGTCCGAGAGAGTTGCTGAAGTTGTCCAACACTGAATCCAGAATGGCCAAGGGGCCTCAGCTGTGATGGGCAGGTTGTGGTGGCGCAACAAAACTTTGTCTGCAAAAAAGCTCACAAATGCCTCACAGCTAATGGCCAAATTACTCCAACTACTAGAAATTGTTCTTACAATGGCCTGGTCTCTGAGTTGCATGGAGGATCATGTCCTGAGTCTTTTAATTTTGTTTGATATTCAAAGATGGCTACCAAATACAAAGATGGCTACCAAATGGCTACTCTTACTTCATTCCTCTGGAAGATACCACCCAACAAAGGAAGGCTAAAGCAAGCATTTAACACTTTTGCTTAAAACAAAGAAAAACACACAGCTTCATTTTCAGATATATTGTTTGATCAGTTCTGATGTACGTCAAAATACATTTTATCCAAAGTGACCACACGAGAAAAAAAAATAGGGAGACCAACTTATGAGACCAGAAGTAACAATGTGATTTCTACTGAAACTTGCCTGGTAAGAAGAAACTGTGGTAATTAAACACAGACTCTTTCCACAACTCTTAAGAATGCTCTTGTTAGACTTTGTTTAGTCTCACATTCATACAAGAGAAGAGATGGAATTGAAGCAGTCTTGCACGATAAAAACTACACAACAAGCTGGAAGGATGTGATACCATGATCAAAAGTGAATAGTAGTTTACACACAGGCAAGAGGTTGTGCAGACTGGTACCCCACCTTCCCCCTGGAGCAGTTTTGGCACACTGGACCCCTTCCTATTCCCCCCACAACAAGCATCACATTCATTGTAAACCATTTTTGCAATTTTGTGTGAGACAAACACTGCTTTGCACAGCCAAATACTTTAATTCACCCCAACGAACATTTATAATGCAATAAAATGCTGCTGATTTGGTATAAAGTGACTGCAGTCTGGTAAACCATACTCCATGTAAAAGGTCAAATGACACATGATCCTGTCCACAAGTTCTTCAAATCCCATGGTACAGTGAGAGCTACAGCTTAAAAACTGAATTGCCTCTCCATTAGGGAAAAAAGCTAAAATTCACAGCACTGCAAAGCTCATGAGTACAGCCAAAACTGAGAAGGCAGAGCAAGAAAATCTCCCTTCCACTATCACAAATGTCTAAAATTTTTAAAAAACGACAAGGGCTACTTAAAGACTGCAGTTAAGTTGATGACATTTCATTATACAGCAAAACAGACTTCAAACTCAAAGTGCGTGCAGCTTTTAAGCACAGCTTACATCTAACTCTTGAAGCAGGTGGGCTTTAGACATGACCGTGTTTCTGATTTTACACGGTCAGAAACACGTGCCTGCATTCTCAGGTATCAAATGAGCTGATACCTCTAGGAGTGGAGATGCATCGTCCTAATAGATCAGTTCCTATTTCTCAGATGCCCAGGCTGTAATGCAAGTTACCTTATGTACTATAGTACAATTCAAGTAGTCCAAATGTGGTCCCCTTTCTCCTCAATGAAATGGGTCTCCAGACTGCTAAAAGGGAACACCCACGGGCGACTGCCACTTTACGGGACACAATCCACAGTACTAATAAGGACCCTTGCCTTCTCTGGCTGAGCTCTGTTCCAACTGATAGCTTTTTTCTCTCTCCTAGAGTTCTGGAAATAATCTTTTGCTCCCCTTTGCTCCACAGCAAAAAGAGAGAGAACCCATCCAAATTTAATTTTGCCTTATATTCATAAAATTTATGTTACAATATGTCACAGCACAGTCAATTATGTGGCCTGTAACTTCCTTTAAATTGTTTGGCACTGCAAGAAAATGCTGAATACACAAGCCCTTTCCATGCGGCATTTATGGAACACCAAAGGCCAAGCCAGATGTGACTCAGGAGATTTGTCACTGGATCCTCCTGACTCCCCCCTTAAGCCAGGAACATCTTAAACTGTCCTGCCAGCTGCTGCAGGCCTTGCCTGCCTTTAACCAGAGCAGTGCTGATAGAGAAGGGAGCCGAAACCTGAACCTTCCCCGTGCCACTTCCTGCATGCAAACTGCTTCTGAGAGGTATCCCATAAGGCTTTGTAGATAGAAAATGTACATGCACAACATTTTAGTTGTATTCTTTTACTTTCCTCAGCCAAGTGGGGCTTCAGAAACTCCTCCTCTAGTTTGGACAGAGAGATCCAAGTACATTCAAATGTGTTGCACCTAGTTTGCTTCCACTTAACAGACCAGAAGTCAACCGGTGGTATGACAGGAAAACAACTTAGTGCCGTAAAGCCCTACAGCACATGGCTGTTGAAAGTTGCAGTTATTTTTGCAAAACACAAAAATAAGGCTTTGTGCCTATGATCTGTAGAACGAGTAGTCATCCTGGGGGAAATGATACCAAATGCCGCTTATGTTTGTGTGGCGTCAGAGCAACCCTCTTGAGAAGCAGAGTTATTCTTAGCAGTGTTTTTGCTCTGTTTTTCTCCAGTGGAGAAATAATTAAAACTTATCCTGATTTCTATGCAGGAATTACTCAGAATGAAGTTGCAGAACCAGATTACTTTGAAATATAGTATCAGGAAGAGTTTAGCTTTCACCACCATGTTATCATACAATGTTTTTGGAGATCCCTATCCATACCCTGGTGTTCTTGTGGAATACGTATATCCCTATAAAATTTGCATTGTTAAAACACAGTGCAGTCATACAGTCCTTCCAACCAACATGCAGCATATTTACTGTTATTGTACAAAACCGACTTTTTAGGTAAACCCAACGTATAAAAACATTTAGCAGTTGAACAAAGTTTTTTTTAAAGGCATATGTTCCCCAAGGCAGAAGTGACAATGACAGGTAGATAAACAGGCAAAGACTGTAAATAAATGTTTCCATGTTATACAGAACTTCTGTAGTGTGTATCAGCATTTGAACTTCCTCACTTGGAAATGGGTTAATTTTAATACGCACACCCCTGGAATGGGTTAATTTTAATACCCACACCCCTGGGATTCTTAAAGCTTCATTGCAGCACATGAAAAAAAGGAAGAAAAGCACCCCATGTTACAGAGGCTATTACTGTAAGTTGCAAGAATAAAGACTTTTGTCAACAGCCACTTTTGTTACAAGGCAGTCATTTAGCTTATGTTGTCAGGAGAACTGGGAATTCCAACTGTTCATCCATCCAAAATTAGTGCATTTTCAAAAGTGTTAAAATACTTTTCAGTTCAGCGGCACTTGATTCAAGTGTTGCTTGTTGGAAGTTTCAGGTGTTTTAAGTTAAATATGTAGCTACATCAGCAGCCAGCCGTACCACAAAGGAGTTTTTTGTCCACATAGTAAATGTCACTTTCTAGCTGGAAAAAGTTATCTTACTCCAATTCGGGAAGTCATCCATTCTAGACCTTGACACAATCTGGAATGCAGGGGGAAGAGAGAAAGCAATACAAATAATGAGACAACCAGGATTTGGTTCAAAGTCAACAAACCAATTTCATCCTCTCTTACAATGTCCATACAGTTTGTTTTTAAAAAGCAACAGCAAAGGTTTCTTCAAATTCTGGATTTTCAATGATGCCAGGGTGTTTTAAATGTTGTAAGCCACATTAAGGAAATTTCTGAGTTTGTAGGACACAGGCATTTTAAATAAGGGAAGTAGTATACTGCCAAAGACAGATATTTTTCCATTTTTTAAAAAAAGCCAAATGGATTTCTTTATATGTGCAAGTTTGCAACAAAAAAAAGAAAAGAAATGAAAGAAAATCTAGACTCAAAGCCCCACTGAAATCATATAGGATTTCTATTATAGAAAAAATTGGATTATTAAATGGGATTTAGAATTAAAAAATGGGATTATAGAAAAAATGGGAACAATATTGTTCTTAAGCAGGGAAGTATACACTTGTGCCTCAGATAAAGATTTCAAATCATTTTACCCTCATCTTCAAGGAATACAAAATGTATGATAACACTGTGTTGTCACAGCACAATACACTTAAGACATCCTATCTGTGCTAGGTAGGCAAGAACAGCAGGAACCTGTCAAGACAGCCTAATATGTACATATTCTAGTTCTAAGAAACTCCGTTTTTATTCTACAAAATGGCTTCCAGCCTCGGAAATTGAAGAAAAGATGAAGAGTATGACAGCATGTTTTTAAAAGATATGGAAAGCAGGACAGCGCCAGGGCACCCGAGTATTCTTGCTAAATTGTCAGTTACACGTCTACCTGATGACTCAACACACTATCTCAGTGATATGACGACTGAAGTAGATTAACAAACACCACAAACTCCACTCTGTCCTCATTTGAGGAAGCCTGCTGCCTTAATGACAGATCACCATAAGACAGGAAAAGCTGACCTTTTATGTAGGTTAAAAAACAAAACAACCCCCCCACACACACACCTTCTGTCTCTAATGGCTGCCACCACTCTGGCACGGGTCTCCTCGGGAGGGCCCAGAGCACCCACCCTACCTCCTTTATACAGCACTTTTCCAGTAGCTTTCCTTTTATATGTGACTAAATGAGGTGTGAGGACCCAGGCAGAGTAACAAACTACCTTCATTAACAACTGTAGTTCAGAAAACATGTAGAAAAAATGAGCACAATAAAGGTAGGTAAACCAGTAAAATAATAAATCCTAACGCGTCTGACTATACTGTCCTAGCCTCCTCTAGGTACCTGTTCTCAGGCTGACTCACCCCTTTTGGATGAGGGATCCCTCTTTCTGCAGCAGCCTCACCAGCCCTGCTCCCTGAGAGACAACACCCTCCCACTTTGGGCAAGGCCTTTTATTCCTTCTTCCCAGGCACCACCCTCTACTCCTCTGCTGGTGCAACCTTTCCCTCCAAATCCCCTGTTAGCCAGTCACAGGGACCAAAGGGTGATCTGGGAGATGTAGGGCCTGCAGTTACTCTAATACAGGCTTTGCTGGAGCCACTGAGCCTCCCTAGAGCCTGTAGGTCGCATCATGACACCTTCCCAGTCACATCCGAGGCCAAAGAGACATGTAAAGAGAGCCTGTAGAAATTTCAGATCCACTGGAAAAGACAACAATGCTAGGAAAATTGAAGGCAGTAGGGAAAAAGGAAGAACCTAACATGAGATGATTGACTCTATCAAGGAACCATCACCTTCAGTTGGTAAGACCTGAAGAAGGCTGTCAGTGCTAGAACATTTTGGAGGCCATTCATTCATAGGGTCACCGTAAATTGGAAGTGACCTGGCGGCACATAACATATGGACACATTTACTTTCCTCCCTCTCATGTGCCACTAGGTCAGTTCACAAGTATGAACTTGCATTTTCTTAATAGCAAGGCTGGAAGTATCTCAGTTGTGTATTTAACATGCATCAGCTATGACTCAGTAGAGAACCTCATGCCCAGCTCCTCGGTATTGACACTGCTACTCGTCGCAACTTTACTGTGTCCAACCTATCAGCAGAATAACACAAGAAAGCACCACTTAGACCTGATGTACAAAGGATCTGCCCTGTAGACATGACGTTAACATGACCCAACTCAATATCTTTGAGGCATGGAATACTATTCTTAATGTTCTTGTATGTAAACTGATCACAACTAAAGGATACATCTGAAGAATGTAAAGAGCCATCACTGACTGCTGTAGCCAATTACTGGAATATGAACTCTGTTGTTCACTCCAGCATTGTTTACCCAGTGAGTTCTGAGGAACATTATCTTGACACGCTGACGTGTCAAATCTGACACAGTCCCAGACAACCTTGTGTCTCATAGGTCTCTGCATTTTTCAGGGGGGTGGGTTAGCTCAATCAACATTCCCCACACTTTATCATATAATAATTTCTCCCAGTATGAAACAGGTAAGTCAACAACTCTGATCATGGGAAGCACATGGCAGGCACAGAAGGCACCATCCCCTAACTTTCTTCTTTGTGCAGAAGAATCCGAACTGGAATTACATTCATGGACACTCTCCCAAGCATAACTGGCCTTGGCGCTGCTATGCACTTGCATAACTTCAGATCAGAAAGAATGACAGATGCTTCACTGGGGAAACTCTTTTCAGATGAAGTGCTCACAAAGGGGGTCCATGTTTACAAGCCCTGGAGACAACAGCACAGTAGGAGCACCAGCAGGAGGGAAGGAAGAGGCAGAATGCAAAGCAGAGGAGGCCACTAAGGAATCCTAGAGCTAGCTGAAACTCCCCCCTCCCCCCAAAAAAGGAAGAAACTCTCAAAACTGTTAAAGGGTTTGCCTGTCACCTTGCACAGACAGGGTCACAAACATTTTAGATAAGGGAAATTAGGTGTCATTCAGAAGACGGATAATTAGACTATGGGATGCCATCATTCTAAAGATAGAAAAATATATGTAATTAAATTTGGAAAACTGATATGCATATATTTTGAAGTGGTATTTGTTTTTAGACTAGTTGTTTTCTTTTCTTTCTGACCATATGGTCTATTGCTTTATTTTGTACCTTGTAAAAATATAAATCAATGAGATAAAATAAGAAGATGGGACAAAAAAAATCCTACAGCCACCCAGATTTGTGACTATAAATTAAGTAGTGCTTTCAATTTATAATACAATATTCTTTATCAGAATAACTGGCTTTAGAAGTGCAATTGTGAGATCAGGAAGCAAGAACACGAACACGTACGTTGCTGAACAACACAGCTTAAAGTTGCTAGATAAACCTACCCTTCTCCTGTTAGAGCACAGCAGGACTGAATGTGCCATGGATGATCTTTTATGGAACTAAGGGTGAGGTACGTAGAAATTTCAGCAGCCGACATACAGCCTTTCATATCCTGTTTGTTTGCAAAAATGAGAACAGCAGCTTTCCGCAAATCCTGAAAACAATGGAAAAATACGTAGAAAGCCCATGTTACTAAAAGTATTGAAGTTGTGCCATGTGATTGTTCATATCAGAATAATGCTATAGATTTTGGGCTGGTTCAGATACAACATTGCCAGTTGCCAACTTGTGGACTGCATGTTCCTTCCTCCCACACTCCCCCTTCCATAGCTTGGGCATCACCAGCCTCAAATACAATTTAATGTTCCTGTCAGCCTAAAACTTAACACGAACAAGCTAACCAACGGTCCTGCTTAACCACAATTACTGACCAACAAATGTTCTGATGCGCAGGTATGATTTGATCTCGGAAATCAGACGAAAATAGGTTTGAGCCACAACTCGATCTGTGTGGTTTACAAGACAGTCTAGAATCCTAAATGCAAAGTACCTCATGTGCCAGCATCCTGTAGAGTTCTTCCTTTGTGATCGACAATCTCTCTCGATCGATGCTGTCAACAACAAGAATAATAAACTGTGGAGAGAAGATCAGAATGTTGGACAAGCAGCTAAACGAGTGTTTCCAGGTGTGTAGAGGCTCAGGAAGTGACACATTTGGAGCAAATATGTTAAACAAAATGCCCATGTGAAGCACTTGAAATTCCTACCCATATCTGCCACAAGGGGGGGGGGGAGAAGACACACAATCCAATGCAGGCAGTGGGGATAATACGGTCCAAATCCAGTCAGCTTTTTCATAAGTTCTTATAAACAGGTATCAAAAATGTATCTGTGTCATTCAAGTTTACTAGAAAAGTCAACATTAACAGCCTGTTCTTGTAGTAGACTAAGATGTCAATGGTAAGGCCTAAAATACCTTTGAGAGACTTGGGACAGCAAAATCTCTTTCTACTGCTGTCTCAACTTTTCTTCTTCAACTACTAGGTTATACTCATATATCTGTACCAGATCCCTCATGCCACTGCTAATGCAACCATTCTCTTGAACTGATCAGTTTAGGAAGGAACAAGTGAACATACCTCTGTATTTGAATAATAGGTATTCCAGGATGATCGCAAGGACTCCTGTCCTCCAATATCCCACATGAGAAAATGTGTGTTTTTAACTACTATCTCTTCAGCATTGCTTCCTATAGTTGGAGAAGTGTGAACCACTTCATTCATTAGGCTAAAGGGAAGAGGGGAGGAAAAGGTAACCATTCTACACAAATTTATTACCACAGAATAATTTTCTGCCTTCTGGATTAAAGCACAGATCAAAGCAGTATAGGAACAAATTCATTTGAGACTTTCATTTGAACTAAGTTTCTCCACATAAAACGCATCCAGGAAGTTCTGTACAGTTCTTGTGTGGTAACCTAGCAGACTCCACAGAGATTGTCACTACTGGATGTCAAACATGGATGACAGCTCATTACATGTATTCTAAATTATATCCACATGGAGGAATACCCACATATACAACCACATGGAGGAACTTATCCATAACCCTAACCCTAAGAACATTCTTTTTCAGTAAAAAATATTTATTTTATAGTAGATGATCACTTAATCGCAGGGACATAAAACTACTCCTCAGCACAAAGCTATTTTCCAGGCAGAAACAAGCTACCGTGGTTTCTATTCAAATGGTCTTTTTCTTCTTGTAAAGAAAGACGGTATTTTTTAAAAAAATCAGCTTTCAGGCTAGTCTCTTCATTACTTGCCTGTGCCTTTTATAAGCACAGCTTTCAACAGTTTCAAAAAACATTATGATGAAGTCCTACTCTCAAGGACCATCACATGGGTGATACCGGACAGGTCAGCAACAAGATTTTACTTTTCCACAGATGTGAGAGCAGTTACCAACAGGAATCTATGACAAACTCTTTCCCTTCATGAACAATTCACATTTACAGTGTATCTGACATACTGAGAATTTAACTACAAAAGCACTGCAATAAGTGTCTTACAAAAGAATTTAGGCTGGAGGGGGACAAAAGAATTTAGGCTGGAGGGGGAAAGAAGGCAGAGAAGGAAAAAAGAAGATAGCACAACTGAACGTTTTTCCGATATTCTCAAGACTGAAAAAGATTAGTTCAGGCTTCAAGGTAATTAAAAGTGCTTAACAATTTGCAGCAACGGAATTGAAAACTATTTTATAATCACCTCCTTTATCATTAAAGATCAGCTGTGAAGAGCTCCTATATTCAATTCAGGGCTTGTCACCTTTACGCTCTTCAAACTTTTAATCCCTGCCCACCAAACTAAGCTGTGTCGCACTCCAGATCTGAAGCTGATCTCTGGTTTATATACTTACAACTGGTAGAGAATGGTGGTCTTTCCAGCATTATCAAGTCCCACAATTATCACCTTGTGCTCTGAAATACATGAAAGCAAACATTTCTGAGCAGCGATAAATCTAAACAGCGTTCCACACTTTTCAGCTACCTGTAACTTCACCACTAAGTTATATCCTAGATACCATTGCACCCTTCTAAGCCCACTGACTTCACTAAGCTCTGTTTAGGACTACACTTTTATAGTACAACTTGACCAACAGGTACCTTATAGAAAGAGAGCCATGACAAACATCCATCTACTAAGCAATGCAACCTCTTCTACCCTTCCTCTCAGGAACCCACCTGTTCTCCAAAGCTGTTCCTACTCTGCCACAGATTCATTTTTTCCACATCTGCTTGCAATGACTCTCCGCCCCCTTTGCTATTCCAAGCCTGTTCTTTTTTTTTCCTTTCCTTTTTTAAAAATAACCTCCCCACTGCAGATGCATATCAGCATTCTTTTTCTTTGCTGGACGACTTCTTCTTCTTCTTTTTTTTTTAAACCCAGTAATTGCTTATAGCTGCTTTCTGCTTTCAGTTAGGGGGATTGGGAAAATGCCGCCACAGTCCTCTAGGTGACTTATCATCACTTACACCAATCTTTTCCCTGTTGTAAAACTCTTATAAAAGGGAGAAGATGGAGGGGCTGATTCTCTTACAGCCTCATACAAAAGATGACAAAGGTGGCTCCGAAGTGGTCACTATTACGTAGGAACGCAACCACTGGAAAAAGCTCCTGCACCAGGGTAACACATTTGTTGCCAGTAGTCAGCATTACGTGCTGCTCCACGCGCACCACCAGCAATCTACAGGATGAGCGGGTCTCGCATGGAAGCTGCTGCACAGAGTTGCTGCCACAGGAAAGCGTTTCCAGCTGCTTGCACTGGGAATCTGCGTCAAGATATTCATTAAAATAATGTCCGCCTGGATGGATGCTTTGTGCAGTAGCTTCAAGGCAGTGGAATCATTTATCATGTCTCGTGAAAGGTTAACAGATATTCCATTAAGAATGGAATGCCTCCAGACAGCTCTCTCCCATGGCAGCAGTTTGTTTTGGTTCCCCCCCCCCTCTATAGAACTGAGAGACGGGGTGAGAATGGCTGAAGGGCCTCATTATTCCTACGTCTACCATTTATGATCCAAGCTTAAAGAAAGCCCACTGGCCAAATGGGTACTATATGCATAAGCTAAGGAACAAACTTCATGCCAGCTTTTAAATGGGTCTCTCTAGCTGTCCCTTTAATATCAGTTTGATCTGCAGCAATGATCAGGTGAGGTTATTTAGCTCCATGCCACAAAAAGCTTCAAGGGTTTATTTCTGCATATTAAACCCCTGACATCTCCCCCCCCCATCACCAGCTGGCAATTTTAATTGGGATCAAGGTGAAGAGGAGGAGGTTAACTCATCTCCCTCCTATTGCTTCCCTGACAGCAGCTAGAAAAGAGGTAAGCTTACCAACCGGTCAGGAAAGAAAACTTCAGGCCCTTTAATAGCAGTACAGTATATAGAAATCTGCCATTCGTGCTTTTCATGGCATGGAGCTAAACAACATCGCCAGATAATTGTTGCAGGGACCATTTAAAAAGTTGACAACCCTAGGAAGAGGACTTCCAGTAGCATCAGTAGGAGATAAAAAAAGTAGAAATAGGTGTCTGGGTTCCCTTCCCCCTTGCTGCTGTGGTGCACTGGTTTGGGTAATGGACTACTACTTGGGAGACCCTCAGCCCATGAAGCTCACTGGGTGACCTTTGGTCAGTCACTCGCTTACAGCCTGATGTACCTCAAAGGGATGCTGTGAGGATAAAATGGAGAGGAGATAACTGAATGAATAGTAGCTCAGAAGGGCTAGTTTCTATTACACACATATATACTGAATCAGACCATCGGTCCATCAAAGTCAGTATTGTCTACTGAGACTGGCAGTGGCTCTCCAGGGTCTCAGGGAGAGGTCTTTCACATCACCTCCTACCTGATCCCTGAACTGGAGATGCTGGGGATTGAACCTGGGACTGTCTCCATACCAAGCAGTTGCTCTACCACTGAGCCAAGGCCCCTCTCAGAATGCTTTTGTATCCTATTTAGGAGTGCAGTAGGATACAAGAGCAGTAATCCTTCACTTCCCAAACCCACAATCATGACTGAAACAGTACCCTTCCTCCCACCCTGGTTGTTCATTATTGTTAAAGTACAGATACTGAAGCCAATGACAGATACATCAACAAAACATGAGTTCGACCTCAAGTTATTTTAGAAGAGTAATTTACAGCTATGTCTGGGAGAAAAGTGATGTATTTGTTTAACTAATT